GTCACACTCGCTGGGCACATGCAATCTTGCTCAAAACACCTTTCGGTGCTACGGTGCTTCTGCCATTTTAACTCCCCACAAAACGGCACTGTTAACAACGCAAAAGGGCAGCGCTTTTAAGCAGTCTGCTGGTCAGAGTCCAAGAGAGTGCACAGGGCTCTCGAGGGCTCTCGAGGCTATCCTGCTGGTTTTGTGGGGCCTTTTCAACGCCTAGGCCTGCAGGGACTTCAGGGCCCTCACAGGGCCTCGAAGAGTTTAAGAAGGCTTTGGGATGTTAAAGTTCCACTTGGGGGTCCGTGTGGAGCCCAGGGTTACCGTCAAGACCGCTCCGCAATGAGGGTCTTGTCCGGTGTGCCAGCATGTGCCAGCGTGCCTTCTGGCTCTCCGCCGTGGGCAGCCAGGGATGTCGTGAAGAAACCGAAGAAACCCCTGCATGTCCAAGGAGAAATATAGAGCCAACATGAGCCAACATGAGCCAGCCCACACCGGCCTGTGCCATCGCTCAGCTCGATCAGCTCCTTCACAGACGAAAGGAAACGAGATGAAATACAAGTTGAATACAAGTTCCGAAAATCTGCAAAGGCGAAGAGCCAACGGGGCCAACCAGCAGAGCAAAGTGCCTTCTGGCCAAGTGGGCACTCGCCACCTCAGCCACACACACGCACAGAACTTTTACAAACTTATACAAGTTTGTGCGGCAACCTGCGGCAACTTGCACGGATCGGACCGTCGCGCTTAGCGAGCGACTCTCCATATGCTGCAGCAAGGCAGACACCTGGGACTCCCAGAGATTTTTGGAAGAGTTCAGCTTGCCAACGGCTGCAAACGCTTCCGTCACTTGCCTTCTCGAAGATGCGGTCGCTCGAGCAGAAGCTGCACATCATGTATCCCAGGCCTTCACCGAGATCCTCGCTCCAGAGCCAACATTCATATGCAGCATATGCATAGCAGAGACTACACGTGACACGTAGTCACGGCGTCGTCGATTACGCAGAGAGCCACGGATCGTTGCAATTGAAGCAAAGCAGAGCATGCGCTTCTGTGGGCTTAGTTGGCTTCTCAAGGCTTCTTTGAGCACCTTACTGGCCCCCCGGACGCTAGCTAAAGGATCCACTGTCGTGGACGCTGGAGAATGTAGTCTCAGTGTCTCAGCTCGTGCTTCCACTCGGAGACAACTTCGAAAACAACCGTGTTTTCGGTCCGGAAATCTTGCACCCGAAAGGAGTTACCAATTTATACTTCAGCGCTTTTGGAGCAAGCAATCCTCGACTGGAATGTATCGAACTTGCGCGACCTTTCCCGCAAGACCTGCAGCATTCATTGTAGCACCAACATTGCCGACATCGCCAGATTAAGGCCAGCACGTGATCCACTGTTTTCACTACCATGAAGGACTGCTGTTTGCACGCTGGCCACCTTCATGTGTGGCCTTCAACAAAATATTTGGCATGCAGCGGCATGCAATTTGAATGAAACACCCAGCCTAGCAACTTCTGCTGAGACAGAGACTGGAGGCGGAGATATCTTCGATTGCCATGGCTCTGGCCCCCATTGCCAATGCCACTCCCATCAGATTCTACCTGCGCTGCACACACACACATAAACTAACTATACTGCCATGCAAACCAGCTTCGACACCTTCCTCCACAAGGAACGCCTTGGGCACAAAGGGAGATGCTCCCTCGCGCAACATCCCAAGACCCCGCTCGCCCGCTGCACCGAAGGAGCCTTGGCCAGTATTGACAAATCCTTTTCTTGCCTTAAGGTTTTTTGCAGGCTCACTGAGCACGCTAAATGCAACAAGTGTCTACAATGTCTATACCATCTTCCAGAACTTCCAGAGTTCCCGGAAGAGTGTCAGCCTCTGATTCCTTGGGCACAACGCGATGAAAACGACAAAAAACTTGCAGAGCGCAAGTCCGGCCTCCTCTTCCATCGGAAACAACGAGATGCTACCCCCAAGTAGGCGTAGAAAATTGCTGAACATACTTTGAACATACATTCCGCAAGTTTTCTCCATCTTCATTACCACCCCTCCGAAACCAGACATAAACGCCTTCACCTCGCAGTGGGCAATTCGTGGCGGCGGCACAGGCAGCTGTCATTTTTCTCTTTAGCAAAAGAATGCGGACCCAGATTTGGTGTGCTTTGGATAGTTCAGACCCATGTGCGTCCACAGCGTCTTCAAAGGCCCCGATGCATCTCAAATTCGACAAGATTCAAGACACGCAAAAGCCTCTGAAAATCGAGATTGCAAAGACTTTGCGCATCAAGGTTTTTGTTGGTGAGCAGGGTACGAGAGGTCAGGAAACGCGTATCCTGCCGCCGGCATTGTGCCAGATACACTGTTGGACCTCGAAAGCGGGCAACTCCCACTTAGGGTCACACTTCAAACTGACATGAAACATGCGTGTAGAAATCATCGAAAATCCCCTGTAATGGGCGGCGCTAACATGGGGAAGCACACAGAGCCGGGGGGGGTTGGCTCGAGGATGTGTAAGGGACTGGGTTTAGCTGCAGTTTACATTATTCGCGGCGCAAAGAGCTGCCCCACACGCTGGAAGTGGGAGGCAGCAGAATGTCGTGTAAAGACACACACAGCAGGCGCCAAGCTCACTCCTACTTCTGAGGGTGGCGCGAGACAACCAAACCAACCATCTGAAACCGACCACTCACTCGACCGTGGGGCAGGCCGCGACTCACCGTCCCCTACGCCGGGTGCTCCCAAGCGCAGCCGAATCCGGACTCCGTCAACTCCCCCGATCATCTACACGGGGTGCACCCTCACGCAGCTGCTGTCGCCTCAGGGGTGTTTCCGCAAAGAAGGGCACGAAGACTGGCAAGCGAAAAAGCCTGAAGCTGCGCAGGCACGTGCCTTGCGGGTCCCCTTTTCGGACCCCCTTTGAAGCTTGAATTCCGAAGCGTCCAAACTTCGGCCTGTGCTGACTGAAGCCGACATTCGGCGCTGGAGTTCGCCACGTTCCACAGGGTGAAGCCCAAATGTGATAGTGTCATTGAAGCTCAGGCGCTTAAGCCGAGAATATGCTCTCAAGCGTAAATTTGGTTTCGGCGCTCAGCAACTCAAGGGCAGCAGTGGTCCTGTTCATACCACTGGTGCCCCTTATCCCAATGGGCCAAAGGGTTAGCAACTTCCACCAGACGATGGAGGCTGCTTTTGGGTGGGTCAAAAATCCAGCTATGGGTTTACTCAATCCGTGACAACAGAAAAAATCCAACTCTCCATTTGGTGGCAGCAGCTGGATGGGGGGCATGAGTGAGTGGAAAAGCATGCGGATGGCCTTTTGCCAGAAACGAGGCCGAGGCGGCCTTTTCTTACGTGCATAACCTCACAAGAAAGAATGCCGTTGAAGGCCAAAGCAGCCTAAGAAACCCCAAGGCAACCAGGGAACACAACCAAGTCCCACAACCCACACAGTAATCAGGCACTTACCACACCTTTTCACGCTCAGGCGAAAGACGTTTGCAGAAGTTCGTGGCCTTGAGCCCAGAGCTTGGCTTGAGCCAAGGCTTGAGCCAAAGCATAGAGGCGGCTTTAAACACTCACTGCACGCTTCCAAGCATGCTGAGGCTCTTCGGGCACAAGGCAAAACAAGACCAAGTCTCTTCCAACACTTTCTAGCCTTACCAAACTCTCAGCAGACTTGTTCTACCAGCTGTCTACACTTCCCTACGGGCGGAAGGCACTTCACCTCGAAGAGAAAACGGCTGTCCCACTTAGTCAGGGTCCGGGTAAGAAACGGACAAACGAACGACTTTCATCACATCCCAGAAACTATGTACATGCACACCATACCTAAACTTTGAGATTCAAATCACCACTTTTCGACTTTCGAGACGCAGCAAAGTCATCCTTGCCTAGCGAGCAATCAAGAGTGCGGCAAACAGAGATTTGCCGGCCTATTAAATAGGCGCTGGGGCCCCATAGGGTACCCCGCCAACTTGATGGTGAGAAAACGCATCATCATATCTTGTACAGCTTGTACACAGAAAAGAAAGAGACTCTACAATCTACGGCCCGTTCCTGTACAACTCACCTCATCTCAGTTCACACAGCATACAGCGACACTCAGCGCACATGAGTGGGCGAGATGTTGAGCTCCGGTTCATGGGTCCTGGACCTGAGTCGGCTCTGACGTGGCACATCTCACACACCACAGCATTCTAGCACCGCGCTGATGCCCATGCTGAAGTGTGCAGGCATACAGAGCATGGGCTTCTTTTGCAAGCAGCAGGGCATCACGATCACGGAGGATGGTGCAGTACTTGCCTGAGAGGCTCCCAACGCCCCTCCCAGATGCATGCCCACTGCCTGGACACTATAGCGGATGTCAAGCGAGGTGGGATCGGCAAAGGTTGGTACCAGAACAGTATCCCAGTCCCAGGTAACACGGGGATAAGATGCGTGCAAACAACAGGCTGAAGTGGGAGCATCCGGAGACAAAGCTACAGCATCACTCCGCTGCGATAGGGCTCGATCCGTGTCGGGCCGCCGCGCGGTCAAAAGGTAGAGTGAAAGAACGGAGGGAGGATCCATCAGGCCACAGAACTCATCAGAGAAGGCCCAAGCCTCCAGGCATTGCTGCACATCCACAACCGTGGAATCTGCAGGAACACGCAATCCAATACCATGGGAGGTGGACCTAGTGCCACTGATCAGCACCCTGCCTCCTGTAGCTGATCTTCGTTGCCAGCTACCATCAAAGCATCGCAAGCCTGGCATGTGCACTTGAAACAGAACTTGCATGGCACCACAGTAGAGGTCCGGAGTCCGATGCTTGAAGGACGCTCCACAGACGCTGCAGATTCTGGGGCATGGGCCCTCGCAAGAAAAATCCACAGTGTGCCTACCAGCCATGCAAGGCCACAGGTGTGGATTACAGACATGGGCTGACAGTTGTTCTTGAGGGCCTCTTGCATTCCCAGGTGAATGCATCGCACACAACTTCCCCCGTCCAGGAAGGGCATTGCACCAGAGGGATTCAGCGAAGGCAGTCCTGGATCCTGTGTGCTGCGGCAGACCTCCCCGGTTTGTCTTTGCGGAGACGGGCACCGATGATCTGCAAGACCGAGCACTGGCACAGCACCTTCAAGCTCCGATACAGGTCCGCTGCTTCCTGACCTCGACGACCCACTTCTATCTCGAAGTGTACGAACTCCGAGCAGCTGTACTCGGCCTTCGCATGAAAACGATACAGCACCGGACTCTCGTTGGCCTTCTCGCACACCGCAAGCAGCTGCTGAATCTCCTCGGTCTTCAGGGGTGTGCGGCTGGCATCCACCTGTAGCTTCTCCAACTCGTGATCCCAAACCTGGTATACCCAGCGGCCTTGCGCATCCAGGAGTTGCACGTTTTTCGCATTCTCCAGTAGCTTCTCGTCCGTGGTCACCTGATGGAGTCGGTCCTTCAGGGCTTTCAGCATGCCAGCCATCATCGTAGCTCTCAACGATGCCTGGAGTTGAGCCGGCGTGGTGTCCCGCATCTTCTTCCACTTCTTGGACACTTCCCATAGCATCCCCACAATGGACTCTTCTCCAGTGTTCCGCAGGACGACTGTTGGCCAGGGCTCCGCAATCTTCACGATGATACACTGTGCCCCGGTGAGTTGCGATTGTGATTGACTCGGGGGCATATCCTAGCCCTTCACTCCTAGCGAGCCTTGCACGAAGATCCCTATTCTCATTGCGAACCTCAATCAAAGCTTCCTCGCATTGCTCTACAGTACGATGTTCTTCATGCAGGGCTTCGGTGAGAAAACTACATCTGTCGACATACTCGTTCATGAACTGCCGCTCGCTTGGTGACATTCCGATGCTCGCTTGGGTGTAGCGGTTCACCTTTTCCACTTTTGCTTGGCTGGCCTGATCCACAGTTGCTCGTCGGCCTGGAAGGGCCCACTTGTAGATCCACCAAATGACCCACAAAGCTCCAAGCCAAAACAACACTACTACCAGGCCAGTCGCCATCGTAGCCACTCCAGACAGAAGAGCATCTTCCATCATCGCCATCGTCACGGCGAGGCCCAAGCCCTCTGCACCATCAGCCCCAAGCACTTGGGCCATCACAAGCAAGATCGGCAGAATTTTCTTCGCATGCACTAGGCCCACTCCGCTGCTTTTCATCATTTCTTTCACTTGCATCTTGCTCTGGGATCTCTCAAGGTCCTCAAGTCCATATGGATTTCCATCATCGTCCACTGCTCCACTTCGACATAGGAGCTCTCGGACGCGAGGGCCGCTCAGAGGTTTTGTACCCAGGTCAGAGGGGTTTCGTTGCCCTGACACAGGGCTTGCACGGAAGACCTTGGCTTTGATGGCCTCTTGGACCCACAAAAGGCCACAGCTCAAGTGTCTGACCTTGCCGCAGCCGATTCGCTGGCTGATGCCTCTAGCTGCAGCACTGTCACTTCGAAGCACAACATCAATCTCAGCGAACCCTTTCATCAAGTAGTCGAGGCACTCCCGGATGAACACAACTTCAGTGCCCCCACTCACCATTGCAACGAACTCCGACTCCCCGCTGCTGAGCGACACAGATTTCTGAGTTCTAACGTGACTGGCAATCAAGCTGCCACCCAGGTACAGATGCACCGAGGAGCGAGACTTTCTTGTTCGCTTGCACCCAGCCCAGTCAGCATCTGTTACGGATTCCAAGACGACCTGGCCTCCGTGCTGAAGGGGTCCTGAGCCTTTGTATTCCAAACAGGCTGCTTGTTGCAAAGGCTTGATCAGGAAGCCAAGACTGGGAACCTTCTGGAGGTAGCCGGCGACTTTCGCCAGCCACTTGTAGGCCATAACGGTTGGTGAGCTCATCTTACTTGCAAGGACACATGTGCTGTACTGTATGTCCGGCCTCGTGTGGCTCAGGTACAAGAGCCTGCCAGTACACTCCTTGTACTGCTTGGCCCTTTCAGGAGCGAGGGCGGCACTTGTATCAGCTTCCAAGAGACTGGGAGTGTCTCTGCTTTTCAATCCAGGCCCCATTGCTTCCAAGAGAGCCTCAACATGCTTTTGCCCCGAATACATTGCTATCCCATCTTCAAGCTTCACATATCTTCGCTTCAGGAACTCCAGCTCATCCCCCACCTCCTTCAGTGGGCTGCTGATTTGAACCTTGACCTTCTTGGCGAGCACTTTCTCAAGGGCTTGTCGGGCTGCTGGTGTTGAAGCAAGAAGCCCATCATCAGCATGCAGCACCAGGCCTGTGTCACAGCCAGGCCTCTCATCTCGGAACAAGGTGGGCTCCTTAGCAAAGCCGGTGAGCCCCGCCTCCGCAAGCATCCCCTTCATGTACTGGAACCACTCACTGGCTGCAACCCTCTGGCCTGGCAACAGCCTCTCAAGCACAAACGCCTCCTAGAGCCACTAGGCGTCCTTGATGTCGAGCGTGGTAAGCTCGAGGCCTCTGGCTTGTGCCCAAGCCATCAGCCCATGCACCACTGCCAAAGAACTTGATGGAGCGAACAGCTCCTGCGACCACGGCGTCCACGAGCGAAACTCCCTGGCCACTAGGCGAGATCTGCGAATCCAGCCAGGCCTCTTTCGCCAGTCTCTGACTACTTTCGTAGTCAACTGCTCGTATTGCCCCAGGTCCTCTCCATCCCTGGGGGGCCTCAGTGCGCCCATGGCAACCAGGCGCTCCACCTCTGTTCTGTCGCTCTCAAGGTCCAAAGCTGCCAACTCGTCAGGGCTTAGCTCCGGCAGGAGACCACCACATCTCTTCACAAGCATTCTCTGTGAACTCCAGGACTGGCTCCACTTCATCAAGCCATGTCTCTGCCTGCGAATACTCATCCATTTCGACGTCGCCGTGGACCATGGAGATTCCAGCAAACCCTGGAGAATACAGCGAGCCACCAACGCTCCCAGCAGTCGGTGAGCCTTTGGGCCGGTCCAGCAGAAGCTTGACTCGCTTGCTTGCTGGTCCCTTTTCAGGCCCCGGTCTCGTTACCTTAGTGCTGCTGTCCATCGCTGCTGACGCTTCCTCTTGTGCTGCTGGTGCTTCCTCCTCTGCTCTTGGTGCTTTCTCCTCTGCTGCTGGCGCTTTCTCCTCTGCTATGTCTTCCATTCCTTGGCTCTTTCTTGATGACGGAGAAGATGGATTTGAGCTACTGCTGCTGGAATCCGTCCCGAGCTCGTCGGCAGGAGGCTTTGGTGTCCCTGCTGCAATGGATTCTGCGGCTGCTTTCCCCGCTGCACGCGCCAACTGCTCTAATGAAGCATGGTCTGGTAGAAGAGGAACTCGAGAAGTGTACAGGGCCCTCTTCCTTCGCACTTTGCCTCCATAGTCCCATGGAAGCCCTTTCGCTTGGAAGACTTCGTCGGCTGACCACTGGCTCTCGGCGGATCGACCTGCTCTCACAAGCTCCTTCTGGCGTAAGAAGCACATGCGCATTGTTCTTCTCGTTGACGCCAACCCAAATGCCTTTTCTCACTGGAGGTCGCCCTTGTACTTCGTGGCCTTGTGGAAAATACAACTCTCCCCGAAGACTAGGAGGCGTCCTCTGTACCGCCGTCCATGTAGGACCTCAAAGGGTGTGATGCCCCGACTGGTGGTGGAGAACCTGTTGTAAAGGAAGGCCGCGTGGCGCAACAGCCAGGCGAAGAGAGGATGCTTTCCACTGAGACGCGCGCCGATACGCGCCTCTCCAGGAAGCACTTCAACGTCATGGCATTCCGGCGGACTGTGCTCACCGCCTTCTCTGCTTGCCCATTTGAGGCGTGAGAGCCCGCAGGGGCTAGCTGGACGGCGCGCAGTCGAAGCTTCACACGGCACGCTTCGACAGCGTGAAGCACCTGCTTGATGCTTGGCTCAGGATCTCCTTGCAGCACCACTTCTGTTGCCCCGGCCACCTGCATGGAAAGCCTTGTGAGCGCCTCGCTCACTTTCTTGAGCGAAGAGGAGCCTTTTGCCAACCACCCATCCACTCGTTGACTCTGCGCCCACAAGGTTCAAAGCGAATTGGTCCCGTAGTCCTCGGCTTCCTGGGCTTCATCAGGTTGCTGGTGCTCTCCCTGTGGCTCCGGTTCCTCAGGCTCCACCTCACCTCGCTCTTTTGTGAAGGTGTAGCAATAGTCAATCTGGATGCGAGGCTTTGGCTCCTTGTACTCGTTCTCGACGATGTCACCCTTCTCCTCCGTTTGCTTCTCGTGAGGGGATTGCCTTGACCGGCTCATGACACATGCTTCACACCAGGGCTGGAAAGGGTGATGTGTCAAGGCATGTAGGTCTTGTTGCTCTTTGCTTGGAAGCACCGGCACCCTGAACTGTTCAGGATTCCTCTCCCCTTCTCGGAACATCTGCTTCGCCACCTCGGTGGAGAGCTGCTTCTCCAACACCTCCTTGTGATCACGAAGTCGCCGAAGAACACGAGCTTTTGGCCCACTCTTGCTCACCCCGAGCTTGTCACAGAGATCTTTCTTGAGGGGGGTTTCCATGCTTAGTTCCACACCATCCAACTCGTCGTCTTCAAGATCCGCGTGCCGAACTTGTCCTCGAAGGTCCCGTTCTCCTCCAAGCACTTCCATTGGCTCATCGCCAAGACCACCCCCGACATCTCCAGGCACATAGAGCTCATCGAACTCCTTGGGCTCATCGAAGAGGGTCCCGGGATTCGTCAAGATATCCCGGTTGAGCTCTGCCACGTGGAAAAGCACACACACATCCCTGAACCCAGCTAGCTCAGACTCGATGTTCGTGATCACCTTCGGCGAGTGCTCAAAGTCATAGGTCGTCATGGCGCAAACTTGAACCCAGGTATCACGCCGAACAAAGACCGCGACCCACTCCCAGTCGTCGCTCGACCACACTGCCTGCTCGAAGGGGATCTCTTTGGTTCTGTGCGCCACCAGAACTGGAAGGCCTGAGGGCAGTATGCTCCACCCTGGCGTTTCGATCACATCCTCGATCTGAGGGGGAAGTGCCGAGACATCCAACATGGCAATGGACGAAACCAGGGCAGTCATGACCAGGGTGTTCCTTCTCAATCTCATTGGGAGGATCCTTTCCCCTTGTTTCAGCACTGGACCCTTCTTTCCTGTGCTCAACCTCCAGCCGCTCCTCCAGAGCTTGCCCAGAGTTCACTTTGGCTATGGCGAACTTCTCCCGGATGGTGACCCACTTGCCTTCATCATCTTGCACCTCCACATTCAAGTATCTTGCAACATGTTGTTGAATTTCATGGCCTTGAGCATCTCGCATGAATACTTCCAGAGGTCCAGCCGGGTCGCCCAGGCCTGCGAAGTCGAGCGGAGCCACCGAAACATCTGCTCCTGAGTCCATTACAACCTCCACTTCGGTTCCGCCCGTTTCCTTCCTTGTTAAGTTGCTGAGTGTGAACGCACGTTCTCTTTCTTGCAAACTTCTTAAGGGTGGGAGCTTCTTTACTTTATTTGCACCTTTTGGCCTTTTGGCAAATTTGTCTTGCGCATTGTGCAGTACGGATAGCTTCGGCGTAAGGTATCTGCACCATGTCGCAAGATCGAATCAGCAACATCGATGGAAGCGCATTTCAGTGTCTTGCCGACTTTATGTTGGGTCATCTCACTGAGTATGATGCTCTCTTTGCCAGAACACCATCAACACATTTGCTGGAGTATCTTAGAGATGGATGCATCGTGTCTACACAAACTATGCAAGAATTGCGCCAAGTGCAGGGCTCAGAGCTCCAATCTATCTTACTCGTCAACCCTAGTAAGAGTTTCCTTCACAATCTAAGGAAGGGTCTTACACAACAGACGAGTATAACGATCGTGAGTAATTTGCACAGCTCACTTTCCATATCAGACATCCCCTGTGTACTCTTCAGGAGTTATGATGAAGACTTCCTTCGTCAAATCCACAGCCTGACGGTTATTGGTGCCATTGAAGTGCAGGGCAAGCGGGAACTTGTTTTTTTGGTCACTTACATTCCCAGCAGCTACCCTGTCCATCACACTTGCTACTACATTGCCATAACGCCTTCCATGAAGCAAGAAGCCGGCAATACTGAAGTCATTATCGCTGGCACTGTTGGAACATTTAATGCCCTTCTTCGCGACTCCCACGGGGGAATACGCCGGAGCGTTCTTTGGAGTCACGCCTCTTGACGAATGCACTTACGACGTCCATGCAGTTGGAGACTTCCCACTCGCGAGCCTCCGCCTCCTCCGACTGCGTTCACCGTATACAGCTGACTTTGCCAATCAAACTCCTGCAAGACAACTTCTGGATTCCTGTTTAGTAGCGAGGCAGGGTTTGCCCGAGCCACCTCCTCCTTCACGAGAGGGCTTGGGGCTTTGGTTGTCGTGGCACCGCACTACTCTGATGGTATAGGTGCATGCTTCCAAATGGCGGCCTGCGCAACCGGGGGCCTAATTGAATGCGCTGAATATGTGCGCACACAAGCCAGCTTGTGGAGCATGGATGGCCCTGGCATTGCAACGGCATTACACAAGCAAGCCTTCCGAGAACGGACAGTAGCCAGCATCGTGCTGCCTGCGGAACGCAAAGTTGGGCTGGACCTCTTTGGAACACCACCCCTGCATCAAGCGTGGGCTTTGAAGGCCACCTGGGGAGATAAGCGGGAGGTTTTTTACCGCACACTTCAGCAAGAAGGATGGGGGAGTCCCTCTTTCACCTCCAACTCCTACTCGGGCACCATTGTTAGTCTGCAAACGCGCGGCTTCGTCCTGGAGCCCCTGCCCAATGCTGTGTATTGTGTCCCCTTCCAGCCGGTGAGGGAAGGAGATGGGGTCGCCCAGTCACCTGCTTGCTAGGGGACACCAGCATTAGGATGCCGCCCAAGCGGGGATCGGCTCAACGCGCTGACCCGGCTTTCGAACACAAGGCCGGCATGCTGCGAGCCCCCCGTGGTCTTCACCTCCTACCTGTTCGTACGGGTAAGGCTGCCTCCGAAACTGCGATTGATGTGGACTCTCCGGGAAACAGCCCTGTGCCCGCGGGTTGTCAGTCCCGACGTGGTCGTTGCTCCTGCAGTCGTGGTTCCTACGCCGCAGCAGTCGCCAGCCCAAGGCGAGGCTGCCACAAACGCACGCCATGGCGAGCGGTGGGGTACACCATGGCTCCAGCCTCGGGCCGCGAGGGGCTCCATTGCGGCAGCTGTCAGCCCGCCTCCGCCAGCTAGACGGGACGTTTCCCGAACCCCTTGCGGCACCCCAACGCGGGAGAGAGGACCACTGACGAAGGAGCCTGCAACGAAAGAGCCTGCGGTTGTGCCGGCCGCGAGTCCTATTGCTCTGGATGCTTGTGTGACGACTCCCTCTAGTGAAGTTGATCACAGGATCGGAGGGGGTAGCGCCGCCTCGTGTCCACCCCGTAGTGGCGGCAACATTAGGGACCCGCCGCCTGGCGTACGACGTCCACCCAGCCCCCGGACACGGCCCACGCACACAGCATCTCCGGATGGGATTAGGACGGTTGAGGCGTCAGCCCCCTTGCGCTAAGTCTCCCACAGACTCACTTGGCCTGACGGAACCAAAATCGGATCTCCCTATGCCTCCCCATGGCCTGACGCCCATCCCCGCCAGGCCTGTGCCCGCTGTCCAAGCTCGCAAGGAAAGTCGGCCTCTCGCTTTGGACAAAGACGGCTCTCAGCAGCTGGAACCACCAAAAGCCAAGCCTCGAGGGCCTAGCGAGCCCAGCGGCACCCGCGATCCCAGCGCCCCAGCCTGCGCACCCATCATGCAGAGCAACACAGTCTCGGTCTGTGATCTCATGTGGCGCGCACTTGCAGCGGGACATCACTTTGGTAAGAATGTCAAACCTCGGCCCTACATGAACCTGCGTGACTCGCAACACCTCACAACACACTGCCAGCAGCTTCGGGCATATAGGGCCTATGAGGTGTTTTTGAACGGCATACCGAACCAGCTGCAAGACTCGGATATGCTGATCGGAATCGCTGACACGCTACTGCATCTGCCTGAAACGTTTCCGGCAGCGTATTTGAAGGTTTATGACCCTATCATCACGCAGTGCCTTAGATTGTCGGGGGCATTGCAGCATTTCGACCTTGCTGAAATGTTGGATTGCCCGGTCCCGCAGCTGGACAAAGCAAGGCTTTCGGAGTCCCTGGTGGGGTATGGCTTTCTTACCACAGCGCAGTACATCGCGGATCTTTTCTCTGCAGTGTCGGACTTGCCGAGTGTCATCAATGCCAGTTTTCCTGCAATGCTCAGCTACGCTGACCCAGATTATTGGCTGGGTGCACTTCTGCTCGCATTCGAGTCCCACCAAAAAGGTCCCCTGGAGCGTACGGCAGGGCTGCCCATTGGGATTGGTTTTCCTGAATCTGACAATAAAATTACTGACCTGCGGATCAATGTGCCATGGTGGCCTTCTTGGCTGGCCGCGCTTATCGGTGTCCCACGTGCCCTACTACCAAATATGTGATGGACGCGCACAGTGGACTGCCACAAGTCACTGGCCAAGCCTCCCAAGAAGCCTTGCAGGCATGGGCCGCAGCTGCTAAGCACACGGACGTGGAAACGGCCAGGCTTGCCCAGCCCATACGTTCCTAGGCATCACGCTGCAGGGCACACAGACACTTGGGCAAAGGCACTATCAAGAATTTAGGCCGGACCTCCCCCCTGCCCATTTCCTTGACGCCATCCGGCTTGCTCTTGCGGCCTCGGTGGCCAACCAAAACATTGAACATTTTTGGTCAGTTTTTAACTTGGAATGGCCTGACACTTCTCACAGAATGGCTGTTTTTCTACGGCGAGTGTTGCCCCTAGAGTGCTTGCTCTCCTCGCCCTGTGCTGCGCCTGTGGAAGCGAACACTGCAGCAACCTCGCCGGAGGTCGTCAGCATCTCTTCCGAAACTAACGAAGGCTCTCCCTGCCCGATGGATGACATGTCAGACGCGGAGGACGAACCCGAGGCACAGGCTTCTCGGAGCTGCGAACCACTGACCTTGCAGCTTTGCGAGAAGTGGATGTCTCCGCCCCTTTCCGGCTGCCAGAAGCCCGACATGTCACAAAGACACATATCCCAAATGTGGGGCCAGTGGAGCAGGCCGTGGTGATAGCGCCGAAGAAGCGTTTGAGGGACCCTATGCGATTCATGAGGAAGGTCCGAAACGTCACAAGGCTCCAAGTGTTGGGCGCGCCAGTCAGCGGGAAGTCTTCCGCGGTTTGGCAGGCTTCAAGTAGGCTCATATCGTCATCGCCCAGTGGGTCTGCGGGGAGACTCAACTGCAGCATAAACTTCATTTGGGTAACAATCCTGGCATACTGAGAGACCATCCCGATAGGGGAGTCAGGATAGACCTGGTGCCCAAAAGTGAGCACAATGTCCGCCAGGACCATGCTGAGGTCGTAGCTTCTGCCTATTTTGGTTTGGGTCTCATCCTGATCTTGCACCCGTACCCATCGACACGTTTCCATCCACCTGCCTGCAAGGCTACGCAGTGGCCGCCCGAGCAGGTGCTGCATCGTGGGACCTGGTGGCATACGTAGCCGAGGGACCCTGCCTATCAGCTCGAAGCGGCACGCCTCCGAGTACCGACATGCGTATAGAATGGCAGCAATCTCAGGAGGGAGGCGCATGGATGAACAGAGCGAGAGGTTGACAGCCGGTCCGACAATGGCCTTCAGCCCGGCGGCCTGCATGACTGTCTCGGCTTGCTTCGGTTTGACGATGCTTATACAGAGAATCGATTCCAGCATCGAGACCGCTGAGAACAATACCTCAGACGCTCCAGAGGAACGGTGGGGCTTGCCCCAAGAGGGCATCTCGCCTTGTCCCTTTTTCCACGGGCCGGAACTTTGGGCCGTTTGCCGCAAAAGGGCCGCAGGCAAGGTGGCTGGCGTGTGGAGGTCGGCAGGGACCGCATTGAGGCCACAAATCTTTTGCTCCAACAACTCCGTGACGAAGTGGTAATTGGGTCGCGATCCTCCAGCGGGCTGTCTGTGGTCGCCAATCATGACATCAAGTGCATGCTTGATGTGCGCCAGAATGGTGTTGGAACCAGGCGTGCCCAATTGCTGGGCTTCATCTCGGAGGAGCAACTCAACATCCTTTAGACGGTTAATGAGCTGCGAGTAGGGAAAGCTAAGCCTTGCCACAATCGTACCATGTGTCGTGGCTACAAGTAGCCCCCGGGACAAATCGTGCACATCAAAAGGGAGCTTATGTGTGTCCTTCTCCTTGTTACCCGGTATGCGAACGATGCGGCTGCGAACAAATTCATTGCTAGC